TATGGATTGTTTCAGAAAAAAATTTCGGAAGGAGCGGTTTCCAAGAAGAAGATAAACAAGAAAGAAATTAGTTATAAAAAAGCATTTTTTTTACTAACAAGTAAAAAAAGAGTAAGTCGAAAGGAACGTCGAAGCCAAATGGAATTTTTGATGCTTCTTTTGAATTTTTACCCCCGCATTGACGTTCCTGTTTCCTGGAACGTTGTCTGAATTGTTGCGCTCATTGTTCTGAGCAACAATCGCCCAAGGTGGAAAAAAATCGCTGCGAAAGCACTGAAATAGAACAAGGTAAAGAAGAACGCACTTTTTACGACTTTTTGCAAAATCCACCATAAGCGAAGAGATAATGGCTGGGTGGATGTATGCATTGTGAACAGAAGCAAGATCTATAGAATGCACGAAAAACTCCGTGAAAAGGGTTGAACTAGGAGAAACACAAGAGGTTTTCGAAAAAAGGTTTTTGCCGGATTTCTCAATCAAATCAAAAAATTTGGTTTGAGACGTAGTCAGCGTGAAAATTGAGATCAAGAGCCTCAAAATGATATACAGGGCGTCCCAAAAAAATTTGAACACTGTTTGACTGTTAAAGGCAGTGTCCAGGCTAAACCTAACCCCCTTCGATTAGTGTCGATTCTGAATGTAGGCCCCAGAAAAGGGGCATCTGCGTTGGTCCCGTCTTCTAACGTTGTCTCTGAATGGAGATAAGGGGCTTGGAAGTCCCCGGCTAGGCGGAGTCTTATATCAGACTCCGCCCAGCCAGGGATGTCTCCCAACACGTATTGACATGTAGTGAGCAGAAGCTGCACACTGCTGCAACTGCTCCCATGCAGTTGCAGCTCCTCGCCGCTGGCCTGCCACGGGGACGAGAGATTCGAAACTCGTCCGCGCCTTCAAGACAGGGTTCCCAGGAATCGGGTTTATTGTGAATTTTGGAGAGTTTGAAGTTCGGGACTGTAATCAGGGCCGCGGAAAGGCCCCAGAATGACGAAAACATGGGAGACCAAATTCTGAGTGGACGCTGCCTTTAATAACTCCCTTGTTTTCACGTCTTTCGCCGAACTTGAGGCACCATTCTATAGAGCGAGGTTTAACTTAGATTTACAGTATGGAGCTAATCGTCGACCGCTCTTCATTACTGTAGCATTACGGTAGGAACTTCGACAAAGATTTTAAGCCATTGTAGTCCATATTCTGCCTCGGAACAAAACCAAACCAAACAAAACCAACAAAACCAACGAACCCAAAACTTCTATACTATGGTAGTGGAAGACGCTAATTTCGAATATGAAATTTTCCAGTTTTCTGTAATGGTTCTTTCCAAGGTTATCCTATTTAAACCGTAATAACTGAATTTCTAAATTTGTCGGAAATGTGACTACACCGTCAAAAAAGCTAAAAACGCTCGTAAAAAGATGTCTAATGGAATCAGCGCGCACGGAAACCCTAGTACACATTTTTTCAGATTTTTTGAACAAATTTTGTCAAATGGCATATTTCACTAAATCCACATGCTAGAAGTTCATACCGTAATCCTACAGTAACGAATAGCGATCGGTAATTCCCTCCACACTACAAACCTAAGTTGAACCTCGCTCCACAGATTGGTGCCTCAAGTTCGGCGAAAAATATGAAAGCAACGGAATTATTAATGATCAAACAGTGTTCACATTTTTTTGGGGCACCCTGTATAGCTTGCTAAAATTAAGTTCGAAACAGCAAAAAAGGATACCAGAGCCAAATGCCCCGCGCCCCGCGTATAGGGTAGCGAGGTAGCGCGCAGTGCGCGGAGACGCAGACGAGCAGCAGAGACAGACCAGAGCCGACAGGGCATTTGGATCTGGTGTCGTAGCTCTCCGCGGGGTCTCAACGAAACCCTGCAACATTATATATCATTCTGATCCTCATGTCACGGCGAGGAGCACTGATGACGTCCCAAGCGTTGAAAATTACTACTTAGTGAGATAGACTAGCGTTTTCGTGGGCGACTCCCTGCGCAAGATTTAAGCGCAGTTTCGCTTTTTTATTTAACTCCAACAGCTTTCCTAAATTTCTGAAACTCGATTTTGGTCGAATAAGAGGTTAATTGAGAAGTATTGTCCTAAATTCTGGCGAAAATTCTACAGGAACCTTTTTTTAACGAAAAAAGGCTATAAAATGCAACTTCTAGATTTCGCTGTGTTGTACAGCCGCACAAGAAGCCGGCGTTTGAGAAGAATGAACAAACATCTCAGATAACCGCCGGGGGCAAGCGGCCATGCGAATTTTGAGCAAGCGCGCACCGGAAAAATAGTTCGTTGATTTTTTGCGGCCCGCTTGCAGAAATTTGGAAGAAAGTTGGTGAAATTAAGGACGAATAAGGCTTGAAGAACAATCGCGGTTTCTTTATGGATTAGCTGCGGCGCAGTGGCCGCATTCTCGCGGACTTTCCGCGAGAATATGCAAAAATTTCGAGGGCCGCACGGTCCTTTGTGGAGGGCCGCGCAACCCCCAGGTACATTCCGCTGAGAGAAAGTACCTCAAACTTGAGTAATTAAACCAACGGTGACACCCCTGCCACACAGAGTCTTACCTGCGCTCGACGTAGCCCGAAAATGCCTAAATAGAGTCCGAGCGCTTGCTGAAAGTTTGGCCAGCGCTCGCTGAAAGAAATTATTTGCCGAGCGCTTGCAAAAAATGCTGTAATGCTGCCCGCTGGCAGAACATGCGACCGTAAAGAAAGTGCCGCCCGCTGAAGTTTTGGCCACGCCCCAAAATTCTGCTGACCGCCTGCAGAAAAGCGCGAGTTTGCGGACCGCCTGCCCCCGCCGATTATCTGAGATGTTGACTGTTGTTTGTGATATAGTTCTGTGCACTATATATAGGTATTTCTTAGTAAGTACAATTCATTCTTAGTTCCTTGTCGTCAAGTAAAGGGCTCAGTCTTCAATCGTCTTTCTACACACGCCATGGCAAACACAACACACTGAGACAACCTAATAATATTATTTCCTATATTTGCTTCAGTAACATTCGTTCCGATATAGGCTGGATAATAAAATAACATCCGTGGCTTCGCCCCGGATGACTCCTGTTTTTTCCCAGGTGAAGGTTGTGTCCCCTCATAGCCCTCAAAGTGGAGGTTACCAGAGTAAGTGACTCTATGTATCGAGAATATAGTTCTAATGGCGTCCCAATTTTTGCCTTAAAATCGTTAACAACAAGCTTCTAAATCCTCGCTTTAGACGATCTCTTCACGTCTCTTATGTTGCGAGCATGCTCTAATTCAAGCTGCTGATGTGAGTACAGTCGATAATGTTAATGGCTTTCTGAGGTGGAGGTTGTCGTAGGATGGCTAATCAAGGTGAAAGGTCTCTTGCGAATGGACAAGATAGACATAAGATGAGTGGACCACAAAGCTATCACTTCCAACATCGCATCCTTTTTTTGGTTTTTTCTGATTATGCATCATTTTATGAAGATGTTTTTGTTACATGTGAATGCTTCGAGGTCGCACGCAATCCTTGTGCCACCGACTGGCGACCGTTCGATCACCAATCGTGGCCGGTGCATGCATGACTGTGGAAAAACGGCCCTTCTGCACTATTAGCCTTAACGGCCTAATTGGTACCGCGCCTCTGATTGGTCGGCGCTGCCGCGAAAAAGCTAGACTATCGTTAGAGACAGGTGCTTTCATAGTAGCGAGTCAAGTAGAAGCACTTTCAAAGAAAAGAATCAAAGGAGTCTCTGGGTTTTCACATGAAATTAGATAATGTGGATGGCTTGAACAGGTTTCTAAGGTTCGTGCAGATTCTACGGTGGTGTGGAGAACTGAAAAATAATTACAAAAGGGAGTAAAAGAACTAGATCTTCTCAAATTTTCGTCTTCGTGTAAAACCTCGACTCTATTATCGATCGGAAATGTACACTCGCTCGCTTTGATATTCGAAAACTCTGCTAATTATAAGGAAAGCAAAGTGATTGGCGCCGTTTTGGGGTAGCGTTAGCGCTAGACAGAGCGGTGATGAAAGGCACCCCAAGACTGGCTTACGGCGACGGCGCTTCCAACTTGATTCTTTCCATTCTCATCGCTAGCCCTGCTGCATACTGCAATGATTCATCAGTCCAAAATTGCTGATTTACCGTCGCTACGCTGGTGCAAGCGAAACGACCACTTAGGTTGAGGAGGAGCCAGAGTTAAGGTACTGAGCGAGTTTCGGCGTTCTTACATACGCATCCATTTTCGTATGTATGCGATTAGACTTCGAAGACATCGTTCCACCCAAAACAATACAACAGCTGGGCCTTACTTGAGTCGCCGCTCAAGTCTCGCTGCAGAATCTGGACTGAATCCAAAATTTTCAGATTTCAGCTGCCTACCTGTCAATACCGCCCACCAACGAGGGTGGAAAGGCAATATGTCCGTAATTAATAAGAGAAGACGCCTAACATAGCTCGACCTTTCAGTAAGTAACATATATGTATTCCAAATCAGCTTGAAACGGTGATTACAATAATGCTATTCCTAGCTGCATCATTTTGAAGCGAGCTATGACGTTTTCACTGTTCAAAACTGACATACTAATCAGCATGGAAAAATTGTCTTTATGTAGAAATCTGCCCGAAATAAGGTGCTGGAATTTCGATAACACTAATTCCAATCTTGCCTCACTGACCGCAAACTCGATGCGAATGTATTAGCCCTTGGATGATGATGTGATGCCACTAAGTCAGTGATTATGATTGCAGAGAAAAAAGTCAGAAACTCGCCACAGATCGATGCGCCAGTGAGCAGAGTCGAGCAGATTCCTCTTCAGGGTTCACCTTTTGCGGCGAAAGAACAAGCAACTTAGTCAGGGCCCCACTATTGCAATGCATTGCGGAGTCTTTAAAATAATTTTGTATCGACGGCGCCTTTGAATATTGTGCCCTTATTGATGTGCGCCTATTTATGCTCGCTATCACAGTTTGATCGGTTTTGAACTCCAAAGTTGCAGAGACCTGCGATATGTTGAAAACCTCACCGGTACTTGCAGGCTTATTAGGTGCCTCCTGCTGCATCTTGGTGGATGCTGAGAAATGAAATCGAACCGAGGCTCAGGGATGACGTGAATAGCTTTAAGATTGCAACTATCCACGTTATACATGAGGCGCACATTGTCAGAGCCTGCCTTAACCTGTCAGTTCACAAGACAACAAGAAAACATTCTTTTCCACATTTGCCGCTACTCCCGCTCTGCGTCTTTAGTCTGCGGCAGGTATGGCTAACATATTGGCAACAACTTGTCGACATCAAGGACAGGAGCGAAATGTTCTGCCAACATGTGTTGCATGTTGCAAACATGCAACATGTTACTTCATGTTGCCATGTCAGATATGCATGCTGCAGTTCAAAGAACAGACCAAAGGTGTAGGACCAAAGGACCAGAAACTCGATGCAAGTGTATTAGTCCTTGGGCGATGATGCGATGCCAATAAGTCAGTGATTATGCAAAATTGCAGAAAAAAAAGTCAGTAACTCGCCACAGATCGAATGCGCCCACTGAACAGAGAATTCGAGCAGATTCCTCTTCAGAATTCACCTTCTGCGGCGAAAGAACAAGCACTTGGTGCCCCGCTATTGCAATGCACTGCGGAGTCTTTACACCAATTTTGTATCGACGGCGCCTTTGTATTGTGCCCTCATTGATGCGCACCTGTTTGTGGTCACTAACAAATCTTGATCGGTTTTGAATTCCAAAGTTCAACAGACCTGATTCAGACGCAGAAGCATAGCACCCCTTCGATCGATATAGTACATCAAATAAGTGTATTGGCGATCGCCAGTCGCTACGACTGGTGACTGTACTTTATATAGTTATTGATTGCAAACAAGTTATAGGCCGTCTGCGCAGGGCGCGGAGAGCGCACAAGGTGTGTACTGCGCGTCGCTCCTCTTTCTTGTGCACTCTCACCGCCTGTTTTCTCTGCGCTTCTTCCAGTTATGAACTATCTTCAATGAGCGCAACAGCGTGCTCTCCGGTGCACCGCAGACGGCCTATACCACATGTCGAATCGATGTATATGAAACGTGTAATCGCCAAACCTGCGTCGCCAATCGCCATTACTGGCGATCGCCAGCTGCGGCGACTGCTGAATACGTATCGATTGGACAGGTAAAAACATGCTGCAATCAATAGCTATCAAAAGTGCAGTCGCCAATTTCAGCGATTGGCGTCGCCAGTCGTAATGATTGGCAATTTGCTCGTCGCCATACTATACACCTCGAGGAGTATAGCGCCTGCCTGAGATATGTTGAAATCCTCACCGGTACTCGCAGGCTGATTGGGTGCCTCCTGCTGCATCTTAGTGGATGCTGAGAAATGAACTCGAATCGAGGCTTACGAATGACGTGGATAGTTCAAGAATGCTACTATCAACGTCATCCGTGTGTTGCACGTTGTCAGAACCTGTTTAATATTTGTTAGTTTACAAGACAACAGGAAAGCATTCCTTTCCACCTTAGGCCCCGGGCAGACTTCACGCGATTTGATCGTCGCGACTGAATCGCGACGAGACAACTGTTACAACATCATTCCATGCCGATCAACTTGCATTTCGGTTGTGGTACTTTTCCAGCCCGAGATTTTTGAGTGTGAAATGAAAATGAATGGAAATGTCGGCGATTGAGTCGCGACGATCAAATCGCGTGAAGTCTGCCCGGGGCCTTAGCCGCTATCCCTGCTCTGCGCCTTGTACGATTAGCTGTTAGCAACAGACAACAATTTGTCGACACCAAGGCCAAAAGCCAGAAAATGCCAACATGATGTTGCATGTTGCAAACATGTTGCTTCATGTTGCCAAAAGTCAATTATGCTTGCTGCAGTTCAGAGAACAGAACAAAGGTGTAGGCGGTTTCCATGCGTATAGCGGGCGTGGCTCTGCAGGCACGTCGTAAAACTTACAGAACATTCGTTCTGAAGCATTACTTTTTGTACTCTCTGGCTAACAAAAACTGCCACGCGCACAGTTAGCAGACGTCATCGAAGCTCAGTCCGCCATTCTGTGGGGAATGGACGATAGCAGTAACTGTGGAAGGGACGATATATGGAATAGTATCTGGTTTATGATGATCAATGAGCAGCACACATTCTAGAGCTTTGCTGTTCGTTGCCATCGCTTCACTGCTAACAATGAGTGTTGTTTGCAGTACAGAAACATTACGTGTACTGAAAAATCTTCTAGTCACCGCATGGATGGTTGCGATAAAGCTAAGGACACACATAGCTACACATCTGCGGAAAGCCTTCTTTTTGAGTTTCAAAGGAAATCTAAGCGCTGCAAATCTTATTACACTTCCACCGTCATTCAACTGCAGCAGCGAAGGTGAGCATGAAAGCATACAAGGTGCGCCAAAATTTGCGCCAACTTTGCAGCATTGTCATGGAAAAAACCCGAAAAATATAGGCTCAGTCGTGCCATAGAATGCTCTAAACAAACTCTAGAAGAAGCATTTTACCGAATTCGAAAAGACTTACCATCAAGATTGCGAGGATTATAAGAATCAAGCTAACACACGCAAGTAACTTTGGCGCTCCCTGTACATTATACTTGAATGAATGAAATGAATGGAAATTCGATCATTCGAGTAAAACATTCGAATATTCGCATTTGAAATTCGAATTCGGAGTTTTCCCATTTTTGAATGATATTCAAATCTCGAATAATTGAGAAAACGGGGTTTTGAATTAAATTCGAAACTCGACTAAGCAAAAATTTCAAATAAAATTCGAAAACTCGAATACTCAAAAAACGAGGATTCGAATAAAATTAGAAAACTCGATTAATCAAAAGATGGGGTTTCAAATAGATTTTATTCGAATGTTTTATTCGAATGTTTGTTCGAATTTGTATTCGAATGAACTCCGTATTCAGATTATTCGAGTTTGTTGCAGAGCCAACTGCTGAGTATCAAGCTCCTTTGTCTGCTTTTTGTTCCGCAAAACTCTGTGATGCATCTTTTTGCAAACGTAATGACCTTTGAACTGTATGGAAAGTCGCATTCCTCCGACTGCTTGCGACAGTAAAAAAATAGGTGTGGTTTGAGGGAGCTGATAAAAAATAAAGTCTATTTCGTTGATTTCACTAATTTTGAAAAAACTTGAGCGAGGAGTTGGTATAGGGGATATGAAAGTGCTGATTATGAATGCATCGGCTTTGGCAACATGTCAGCATTCGATGAATCATTCGAATATTCATCCGAAATTCAACTCCCAATGTTTGAATATATCGATATTTCATCCAATATTCTTTTATTTTTTGATTTTATTCGGGATTCATTCATTTGAGAATTTTCAAATCTCAATGTTCAATATTCGTTTATTCGAAATTTGTCATTTTCGAATTCGTTCCGTATTCGTTTATTCAAAAATTTTCGTTTTCCAATTAATTAGATATTTAACCACTTAATGAGAAATTTCAAATTTACTCAAGTATACTGTGCAATGGCCAATCTGTACGTGCTTGATTAAAGTTTGCGCCCCGGTTCTCGTTCCGAGTGGTGTTGCAGATAATAGTGGGTGCCTACCTTGCTGAAGAGTTTTTTAACTTGCGATGGTATTCAAAATGCAGGGCATCCGGTAGGAGCAATGGAGATACGTTGGAACAATGGACCGCACTCACTCTCTGTCACAAATTGGCCTGTCACTGCTTTAAAGACAACTCGGCGAATCTGAACAGACACATGGGATCGTACTATTCGGAAGCTGTTTTTGGGAGTCTTACTAAGACATCACGACATTACTCAAGCGACGCAAACCGTGCACTTTTGGCCGAGATACCCATCTCCAAATTAGACCCGACTACCGTATTTGGTGGACGACTGGCGTTCGCTTGGATCTCCGCTCAAAAGTAAAGTTTGCGCCCCGGTTGCAAGTAGAAGTGCAAGTAGATGGAAGTCGTTTGCTGAATACGATATTGAGGGCAGTACAGCGGCCAGGAGCCTGGACAGTGCCTTTCAGACAAACGAGTTCGTAAGGAGTACGCCAATATTGTTGGCGCGTGTATTCTGCAGTGTATTCTGCAATCTATTCTGTATTCTGTAGCTCATGCCGCACAGCATGCATGAGCTCATCGAAAGACAAACAGTTATTTGATTTTCATGGCCCCTCAAAAATATTCACGAATGCTTCTGCCATACTAGAAATCTGCAACATGATAGAGTTTTCAGTTATTATGCGCTGCAGAGAGAAAATCATGGAAAGTTTAGCAAGAAAATAAAAAATATATACTTGTGTTTGCCACATGCTGAATGTACCAACCAAGGATAAGAATGTGCAGAGAAGAAATAATCAGCTCACGCAGATCAGCTTTGGTAAATCGATGTAATTTCACCTGAAAGTTTTGTGGAAGGAGGATAGCGATAGCGGATATACAAATTTGTGGATAGCCCTGATCTCAGTAGCCACTCCGTTTTTGTAGCTCTTAGAATTTTGAAGACAAAAAGGCCAGTAACAATAAGTAATACTAGCAAAGATTCTTGACGTATAAATATAGATAGGTTTTGATAAAGGAAATTCAAGTGCAGTCACAAAGTTAGAGTTTCCGCGCTTTTCCCTTCAGAGTAAGTAGTCGCCAAAAATATTGGCGCTAAATTGGCAGCAGCGTTACATCAAAACTATTGGTAGTTAGTATTTCATCTTAATGCAAAAGGAGATTGCAGTCATCCCCTACGACGTTTAGTTTCGCAAGCAACAAAATCCGGGAGACATACGCGTTTGGGATCTGAAATTTAACGGAAAATGGCCCCAAACTTTTATAATAAAGAAAACCTGTTTCATAAAATACACTGTAATGCAAAACGTTCCTCTTTTTTTGTAATTTTTCGCAACAGTCAACCATAAAAATGCGCGCGAAGTATACTTTTTTCAGGATCAAAATCTGAAGTGATGCGAATATCACGAAAGTCATTTATCATAAAAGTAGTCGATAAAATGTCTGAAAATCTGAAAATTTAATATCAAACTGTATCGGGAGCCAAAAAGCGGTGTATCCATCAACGACTGATTTCAGCGTTTTTGAATTTCGGAACTCGATTTTTAAATGCCTCGTGATACACTAACGCTATCCAC